CTCTTCAGGGTCAGTACTACAGTTTTTCTCTGGAAATGTAGTGACATGGTTTTGGCAATTGTCAGTTTGTGGAAGTGGCTTGAATAAAGGAAACAAAATACTGAGATTAAAAAAAAACTAAAATTCGAGTAATTGTCGCATGTTTAATCAAGCCTAACAACCATCAGCCTTTGGACTGATGGCCACCATCAAGCCTTTTAAGGCTTGGTAGCATAGGATAGATTAGAATATAATACAATTGTCGTCTCCGGAAAAAAAAAAAATCAAGCCTAATAACTCTTAGAAGTTTGTTTCATCATCTTTTAGTAGGTTTATGTCCAATCATATAGGATTATAAGTTGGGTTCTTTGTTGTTGAATTTCTTCGAAGAGAGTGATTATCTGCGTGGCTTGCTCTCCATTTTTTGTTGATACTATCAGAATCGTATTCTTCAAACCTATTACAATCTGTGCAAAGTCTCCTCCCATATATTTGAGTGTGTTAAGCTTTTACCTCAACTTTATAATTTGGGTTCTACAGTGCTCCTGTTCTATTTATGCCAAACATCACGAAGCATAATCATTTTTAAGAGGCTGGCTCATTCTTCTGGTTTGTTCACAATTGCTTTTGTTGTAAAGAAGTTGAAGGAATCTCAACCTGCAGTCTCTCGGCACAAATTGGTAAGGAGTCTATGGACAAAGAATTTTCTCACTTCTTTTGCTTTTATTATGTGATTACCGTACAAAAGTATATCGTATACAGAAGATCTAGTGAGTTGTGAGATGATGAGGTATGTGATCACTGTACAAATTGTGACAATGGGTCACTTATTCCTCGAGTTTCCAGTTCTGCAGCATCATGGCAGAAGATTCAATCACATTGTTTTATCTTTAGGGGATTTTTTCTTGGCACAAGTTGTTGCGTGGAACTCATTCTTCCATTGCTGGGAAATTGCTTAGGTTGGCATTAACTGTTACAACAGCGAAAACTGCAGCCTTGTTCCAATTTTTGTGGCTCATGTCCCCGCTTTTGTGCAAACTATCATTAGTGAAGCATAGTTTGTGACTGATTCTTGGAAGGGATTTAGAACGTTCAAGGAGAATTAGTTGGTAGTGCTAGAACGGGAAAGTGTAGGACTAAAAGAGCATAGATCTGAAGGGGGTCAATTTTGTTTCAAGAGGTTGCGTGCCCTCCTCTCTCTGGGGTTTGTAGTTGGTTTCTGAGGTGAACAACTATAAAGTGTAGTCTTCAACTTTAATGAAATTCTTAATTATTGTCTTCAACAAAAATTTTCTGTTTAAGGCTATATATAATGAAGATTACACCCCTAATTCATTTTACCTTCTGAAATGAAGAAGTTAACAGGACATTATACATCTAATGTCATAATCACAAGTAGCCATAAGAATTTTCGTTTTGTCCATTCCCTAGGCATCTGATAATGAAACACTAAACGTAATTTGGAGCCATGCTTGTCTTACTGAAATAGTTTATTTCTTTCATCTATACACCAAAACAATAGGATGATATGTATCTTTGTTTGTTTACATCATCAAGAAGTTCAAGTATAATAGGAAAATTAAAGAAAGAATAAATCAAACAGCCTCAATTCAATTGAAGCTCTTTGTTTCTATTAGGTTATTCTCTTGCTGCACTGTTACTCTGCTTACACGAAACCTTGGCATGAGGGCTTTCCTCAAGTTCTTTCTTGCTTCCATATTCAAGCTCTTTGCATTCCCTATACAACAAATGCATGCAGAAATTCCTTTACTACAAAATTGTGCTTGCGTTTGAGTCAGCTGGCAGAAATGCTAACAAGTTCGTCCTCCCTTTTCTTGGCTAAACTATCTTTTCAAAGCGCCACTGCCACTACCAGCAAGTTTTGAAAGGAGGAGCATGCAAGCAGAAGAAGTAAATACAGCGCCAGCAAAGCAAGCAAGGTCAAAACCAGTAACCAAAGGTATTGTCTTGAACTTCTCCAGCACTCCCACTTGAAGCATCATTATGACAGCTTGCCCGATTTTCGACTTGGCTTGCATTATTGTGTGAATTCCAACTCTTGATGGAACTGCCTGATCAACCAAAAATCAACAATCATCTACGTATCAGAAGCTGTACACTCTTCCACATATACACCTGGCTGCTTGTATTAAGTTTGTTCGTTTATTCTGTTTTGTATCATGATATGTAAGTTTTACCTTTGTTGAGGTTGATAGATGGAGAAACCGTGACAATTTGCCTGCAAGACCAGATGATCCTACAAACATGACATGCATCTCCATTCCGAATAAAAGCATTGTAATTGCAACCAGAAACATGTCTGCAGAGAATTTCAGTTACGAGACAGTATATCTCCTTCATAGCTAGTTCGTTGTGATTAATGCAGAAACGAAAAAGGAAAACCAGAAAGCTATAAAAAGTACAGCTCATAGGGCAACAGTCTATAGAGTTTATACCGATCGCTTCAATTAAGAGGTGGACAAGATGTTCTTGCTCTGACCCTTGAGACAGGGAATGAAAATATTGCAAATATGATTCCAATATCAAGGAGAATCCCTGCAAGTGTTGCTATAACTTCTAAGATTCTTATTTATATTTTCGTAACCTGGAGAAGAAACAGTACTAATGGGTTTGAAGAGAATCATGAGAACGTTTTAAGTACCTCGACAAAGCATAATCCTGAACCAAGTAAAGATCCTCCAACAGCAAACATTGCAAAGAATCTGCAATCCATTATCACCTGCAGAAGTAGGATTCTTTTTGATATATACAGAAAATTCTAATGACTTCTTAACAGTGAATATTCTTTTCTTGTATCATCAATTTCTAATTCCTATATATACACTACAATCAGAAGTATATCTTTTTCAAGGTATGAGATCAAGTACCTTTTCCAGGAACATCTGCATATGTAACTTCCAAGGTGTTCTTTTATTAAAAAAAGCCAATCTCCTAAGCTGTAGAACTACAAATTGAGCAACATCTGTAAGAAATTGAGCCAAGTCAACCCACATGTCCGTCTTTGGTTTGGAAGTGGCAAGGCACCCTGAAGATGAAACGGACACCTTTACTTCCTTGGGAGCCCTTTCACCATGACCAGAAGGCGGCCCAGTGGAAAGCCAATTCTCTGTACTTAAGCCACCGCTGCTGCCAAGACACGTTGCTTTGACAGACCTAGTAGACACCATTGATGAAAATTTGCTGTTATTCGAAGACGAAGAAGAAGGATAGCAAGGCAGACCTAGGGGTCTGCACATTCTGAATAATGTAGCGGATGCCATTATGTTGTGTAGGTTGGAATACAAAGGCAGCTGTACGATCTATATCTCTGGTCTGATAGTTTTCCTTGTAATATTGGTGGAGGAGGGGATTTATATAGTTTCATGTATATAACTGGGGGGATGTGGTAGACACGGAAAGAAGAAGATTCGGAGCATCTTAGCCAAACTTGTCTCCATGCAGGATGAGCTTTTGCTTTGTTTCTTCACTTTTCTTGCAGAGTTAAGTCTTTTTTTCTCCACCACCCCCCCCCCCTCCCGTGATTCTTTTAGTTTTCTACCCATTCATACATGGACAATTCTTCAAACTTACCTTGACCATAACCAAAAGAGTGTTACGTTTGCGTCACAATTCCAGTATGGCATTTTAAACTATAGCAAAATTTTATAAACTATGAGAAATGCATGATAATTTTATGAGTACTTAATTATAACCAAAAGAATGTCACTTTTGCATCACAATTCCAATATGGCATTTCAATTGTAAGACGGAAGGAAAAAAACAAATGCATGATAGTAAATGACAAGGAAAATCTTACAATGAAGGGAAAAAATTACATTTTCTAGTTTAATAATAGCAATCAAGAGTTTTATTTATGTCATGACTAGGATATCTTTAACAATTTATATGCTTGCAATGCATTGCATTTCAATGTACATCTACACCACGGTGAGAAAAGTTCCCAAGATCCTGAAAACACCTCTCTCCTCGAGGAATTGGAAGCCTATGAACCAAAAAATAAAGTCCTTTAGGAAAAAAATAATATTCCCAAGTTTGATAGGACCACAATTTTGTATTAGAACCTAAGGTCAATATGTATGTGAAAGTGAAACGGAGGCTCCACCGTCAAAATTTCGGGCACGTTCATGTCTTTTTTTAAAAAATAAAAAAAAATTAAATAAATTTGATTCCGATTATCATTATAGATAAGGTATATTTCCAAAACTATAGATCATTTGTACAATTCTTCCAAATCGCTCGCCAACACAATTCTTCCCCTCTCGCATCGCGCATGCATACCTAGCCCCTACTACTACGTACTACTTGAGGAGACTTGCTGAACCGCGAATCACAGACGTGGAATTTTGCATTCATTTGGTCAAAATCAGTTTTGCGGGGACTGTCCTGGAGGATTGTGAACCGGACAAGTGGCATTTCGGTATCTATACGCGGACTTGTGTTGGTGTGCTGCGCTTTTGGGGACCGTTGGCTTAGTCTAAATGTTAATAGGAGAAGAAAGTGAACGGCAGTTACATGCATACGCGTTCCTTTCTCCGAACGTAACTTTGGGGTGTTTAGACTTTTCTGTACTTAGCCCACCACGCGCTCGTAATACTACAGTATTATTCTGTGTCATGCAGCCATCTGACTCAGAAGCTGCGCGCTGTGCCTGATTCAATAGTTGCCATTAGGAATTTAGTTGATTATCAATCGACAATCATCAAAGCATGCTGGCTTTCGGGGTTAGAGTAAACTTCCAACGAATTCAGCTCAATCGAGAGCTTGCTCAAAAATTGAATTCGAACTTGCGTCGATCAAATTCAAGTCAAGCTCAAGCAACTCAGATTAGTTTGACAAGTTTGAACTCGACCACAAAACACATGAGCTCAAGTAACACTGCTCAAGCTTGATTTGCACCCTGTTAATCGATTTACTCGATTGGTTGATTTAGATACTTCTGAGCTTCTGCATGGTTGTCTTTGCGAAATTGATTGATCATTCGGGTAAAGACAAACAGAGAATAAATGACAAGAGATTGAATCTTGTTAGCTATTAAGCTCGATGGTGAGATTGTACATGAAAAGTAAGAGGACTGCTTTTTCCAAAGGGATATTCGTTGGTTATTCCACCAAAAAATTTAAAACCTTGTTAACCTATGGCTGATAATGACCACTGACTTGTTCTCTAGATCGTACAAGAACAATTTGTCTCTTTCTCTTGCTTGAGCGAAAACCATTTTTGATCGTTCATTCTTTCTCGGACGCCGATTTCCTGGAAATTTGTGTGAAAACAGTGAACCAAGAAGTAAACAACTGTGGACTGCCAAAATTGCCAAGTACCCTTAATAACCTGTGACAGGAAGGGAAGAGGCACTAAGCCTAACGCTCGGATTGAAAGAAGTTTCCGCGAACTGCCATACAACACTCCTGAGTTGTAAGCACAAGAGCAGGGTAAAGTGAAATGATAACAAATCCTCCCCATACTTCAATAGTTCTCTGCAACCGGTCTGGAAGGAAACAGCCTCAGGAGAAATGTTAACAATGACCACAGGGAAAACACACCTAATATTTGGAAAGTCACTATCAAAGAAACCAATGCACCATTTCTTTCTAGCAATTGTTGGGTAATGGGTGCATCCTTCATCGCAAACATGAAGGTCTGAATAAATTGAACTGCTCGGGTAAGCTGATAGATCCTGTAAACCTGCAATGACACAGTTTGAGGACCTGAAATCCAAACTACACCATTCCCCATCAAAATGATATCTTCAATCCATTACAAGAGACTTCACATACCTCAAAGATGATGGTAACTAGGGGCCAGGAGGAGGACTCGCGGCTTTCAAGACGCTTTTCGAATAAAAATTGCACCAAACAGCCAGCTAAGAAGGGAGCTACTGCCACCAATGCAGGTAAGCCAAGCACAGGCCAGGTAACATAAACGGCTAAGAGAGGGGCAAAAATCTTAAAGCCCGTAATAAAGAAAACGGAGGTTAAGTATCCTCTAAGCCCTGTTATTAGGCTCCACCTCTTTGCACTAAATTGCAGATATGGCTTTTGGACGTGGTCAGTGACACGCAAAAATGTTGCAAGCCCAATATAAAACATGACTTCAGAAGCGAGTGATGAAATAATTTCTGCATGGTCAGTCAAAAGGAACTTCATCAAAGCTTGCTTTTGACAATGAAGTATAATGAAACATCATGCAGATGCAAATACAAATCTGCTCCAAAATGTCCTAAGCATTGAAAAATCATAAACAGCGAAGTTAAACCTAAAAAACACAAATAAGAGAACTGCGAAGAATAGCATCTTCCCTATTTCATCTTCTGCCCCTAGACTGAAGGTTATTTGCCTGCAACAGCTGGAGATAGACTGGGTATACAACTATCCATAGAAAGGTAAAACCTCAAAATTAAACTTCATTTCTTCTTAATAGAATGTTTTAATCACAAAAGAGTCCTCTTAGGCAGTACTGTATTCTTTAAAAAAAAAAAAAAAGCACTGGCTTGAATATACTAGATTCTTCCAGGTTGACTTAAAAAAGTACTGAGACTCCACATGCTTTCTTATTATTCTTTTGAAACTATTATTTACATGTCAAACTAGGAAAACTATTTCAAAATGGAGGATATATTTCCAACTCCTACCAGATTAGGCCAGCAAGTGGAGTAGGCAGTTTACTGCTCTCCTATTAGCAATATAGCCGGAAGGATGTTTATTTGAATCTAAGTATTCTGTCAATGAGCAGCCAATTAGTTCAACAGGATTTTTTCCAATGTAATTTAACCAAGTTCATAAATCACTGAAGATGAGCACAATTTACAATATCAGCATATTCTACATCTCATTTGGAATCCCAAATGTTTCTGCAGGGTACAACAAAGTGGGATCAGTATAATTTGATTTACCACTCATTAACTACAATATGATATTGAAACTCACCACCCTAATGAAAAAAAATGTACCTTTCAGAAATATTAACCACCACATCAATCCCTAGACCTCAACTTTCAGCCATTGACTTTAAATAACTTTGATCAAAGCTTAACCTCTAAGCACAATTTTATGACACTTTGTTAAGTCACTCAGAGAATTTTTAATAAATGGTGATGCAAAAACCCAATAAAGTTTGTGCACAGAACAAGATTATCAATAACCTTATCTAAAATGTCTAGTACGAGGCAACAATGAGCAGTGTGCTACAAGTGATTCACACGTATATTGTTGGAATACTACTACAAACCATCTCCCAAGATACCTTTAGGGTATAGATTCCATCCATGCAGTTCACAATTTTTCTTAATCACAGTAATTCAACCCTTTTTCCACGAAATGTTAAATAATGAAGAATTATGCGTAGCAAGAACCAGATATTCATGATAATAACACCTGAGAGGAGCTCATCCCTGAAGAGGTCTACAACAGCATTGCCAAGAAAAAACCGCGGGAGCACTAAAGATGAGATCAAAGCAACAGGGGCCAATACCCAAACAAAAGACCCTACATTTTCCTCCACAGGAGCTGATACCAATTTACTTTCTTCAACCGATTGGTGAGTGAGCCCCAGAAAAGAAACTGAACCCGGTTTACCACGAAATGGCTCCGACCCGTCAATTGCATTCACCTGTGCATCTCTAGGCTCCCTTCTTGGAGACGTCGATGTTCGAGGTTGCTCAGAATTAAGAGCACACAGTACATTCCTGCTCCTAAACCTCGATTTTACTGAAGGAATACCCAAAAAAAGGGTGAAATGAAAGAAGAATTTTAGCTTGCATTATAACCAATCCTTTAGGATCACAGCTAATTGAAACAAAATTTACAAGAAATTTTAGACCCCTCATTTGAGCGTCTAATTGAGGAATGAGAAAGCATACATTTTAGTTCATTTTGTAACAAAAAGAGTTTGCTTTGAGAATGCAACAGAGGCGTTGAGCTGCTTCTTTGGTGCTGAATCTAAAAGGGGAGCCTAAAAATAGAAATTTATTGCAAAATTGAGAATTTATAAGCAAAGAAAATAATACAAGGACATAAATTTCTGAACTAGTATCGGGTGAAAAAATGAAACTCTTGAGACGCCAGAAATCTACTTACTTTGCGAGGATGAAATGGAGAAATTACAGGGAATGAGAGTTGATTGTGGACCCAGCCACACGCTGATTGCAATTCCATATGAATTAAATAGTGGCCGGGGGTTGAAGTAGGCAGCTGATATAGGCTGTGAATTGATGGGTTTAAGGAAGGAAAAGGCCGTCCTTAAACCCTATGAACCCCACTCCGCCGCGGCTCTTACGACTGTTCTTTCTGCGTTTTAGTGCACCGGCCGCTGTAGTTCGCCACGTGTAAGGTGACTGACGCCACCAAAAATGCTAAACATACAATTACCCCTTTTGTCAGTCCACCTTAGCAAATGAACTATTAAAACATTACAATTGATAAAAATAACCTCCATTTTAATTGTTAAAATTTTTTATGAAAATGGCACTCTTCATGTTCTATAAAGAAGCGACCTCCAAAAGTTTTCCAATTTCTTTCGATCATTCATCACATGAAAAAGTCCTCTCTCCTTCTTTCATAACATTTGCAACTAAAACAGAAAAAAAAAAAAAAAAAATGTCCCAAGTTTCTTCAATTTCATTTTCTTGCTCTTCCTGTAGAGGTTGTTCAACACACGATATGGAAGATCCAATCCAAGAAATCCCTGGAGGATGTGGTAAAATAGTACCTTTAAGAAGATCTTAGACTAATTTTTTTGGATATATTTTACGATAGATTTCTTGGAATCGAGGAAATAGATTTCTTGGATATTCAAATTATAATGTTTGATCTCTACGATAGACTAATTATTTTCTGTATTTTTTAGACAAATAAATTGAAATACGAAAATATTTTTATCTATAATCGTCAATGGATAAACCAAATCTTTATGCAACTGGTGAGAAATATATGTGCTATATCCTATCCGAACTTGCGGACATTTATGTCAGTTCATTATTATTTATAGGAACGACATTATTGTCATTTTGATGTCATCAGTTAACATCGTTACTAAATGTTTACTTTGAGTGAGAAAAATAAAATTTGGGAGATAAATTGCAAATACACCAAACTTGACGGGACTTCTTGTGATTAATCCGCTAAACATATGAGTAACTATATAACGCTTTGTTTTCTTTTCACTTGAGTGGATCAGTAGTTACTCCTTGTTTAGCTGCAAGATGAGATTGACCCTTCTTCCACCTCTGCTCCCGGTATTGATAGAAAATGCCTACTAGAAATTTTAGCGATTTGAAATATATTATTATAACCTAGGGAGCTTCTATTGTCCCTTTTGGAATATAACTTCAAGTTAAATTTACCATTAAATGGTGAAATAAGTATTATTGACTATTATTAGATTATAGTAACAATTTCAAGGATTTAAAATTTAGACCATTATCCTTATTGAGAATAAGGAATGAATGGTACTCTAAAAGGATAGAATTTTCCTATTACTTATCGAATTCTAAGGACAAAAATCAAGCTCCATTAGGCCCAACTGCATCAGCAAGGAGAGGACCGGCCAAGTCCCAACTGGGCATGGCCCAATACCGTAAACAATTAATGATTTTACAAAAGTTGATAACTACTGCCCAACCAAAACAATTAATTTAAGTTACGGACGCATTTAATTGCAGTGGTCCATCCTTTCAAAACTTTATGGCAATGGTCCATATTGCAAAAGTAGGTCGAATGTCTAGAAATATTACTAAATTTAAAAAATATCTCAACAGAGTCGTTTTACCTACTTAAAATCCTTGTATTTTTAAAGTGTGGCGACCATTAAATATGATTTTTATGTTGCCTTTTTTATGGTTCCAGCAGGATGGGGAAAAATATTTTTTTTAATCCACATACACAATCGCGCCATGTGGCGACTTTTTTTTTTTTTTTTTTTTTAAGATTTGAACATGCAAATGCGGCGACCACCTTTTTTTTTATTTTATCAGACGCCAGATGCTTTGATCTAGAAAGTTAAATTAACTGTTCAATTAAAATAAAAAAAGTAAACAACTACTCCACATTTGAAGAGACGCAGGATATCACGTGTTGCATGTCGTCCTCTACTTCATTATTGTCCCTTTTTCTCTTTAAAAAAGATGTGTTTGCCAGTGACCTGGAAAAATTGACATTTGACAATCACCTGTCCTCAATCCTGATTTTACGAGCCAAGCTGAGAGCTGCCCTGCCCTTGACGGATAAGAAAATACGGGCGATGCTGGAAAAGCATATTTAGGGAGTTAACCCAATAGGGGAAAATTTTTCAAAAGAAGACAAAAATGGACAAAGAAAAGAGGTGGTTAAAATAGGAATATTGATGGGTATCGACCAAGTACTTCCTGTTTTCTTCAGAATTTTAAAAAAAAAAAAAAAAAAAAAATTTTACTTGAGCATAAGGTAGCAGCTGCTTGTTGGCCCAGATGCACCTAGGAAACTGACCGTAGTAGTGTTAATGTGTTAGCGAGCTCTGGACCATGCATGGGGAGGACGATGGAAGAGAAAGGGACACAGCTAAAGAAGCCAATCTATTACATCCGAAACCATCGTATTACAACTTTACAAGTGGACAACAGCTAAAGAAGCCAATCCACTCCACTGGTTCTTAATTGGGATAACATCCGAAACCTCCCTTGAGGTTTCTCCTACTATCACTTGACATCTTTGAGGTTTTTGAAATATCACTTACCTCCCCTAATAAATGTAAAAAGATTATATTAATCCTAACTTGATACATAATTCACATATCAAATAAATGAATGTCAAATTTATTTATTTTTTAAAAAAAAAGAAACGAAAGTCACTTTCTTCTCCTTCCCTTTCCTCCATCATTCTCTCTTATTCATTTTTTGGATGACTATGCAATATTTTATTTGTAAATAAATTAAATTTTATTTATCTTTTTATTTTTTGTGATTGTAATAAAGTAGGTTATGATTTATTTGCTTATTTTAAGTTATTTTTATAATAATTTGTACAATTTAATGGTTTGGGCAATGAGAAGATGTTGAAAAAAATAGTTCATAAGAAATTGGTTTTGAGCATATAGAGTTAAATTGGTGCAAGTATATTTCTTTTCAAATATCTTTTTTATTTTTTTAAAATTTATATTTTTATGAGATATAGCATTTTGATGTGGTAGTACTACAAGAGATTATTTTTTTAAGTGATGGTCTTCTTGGAGTAAACAAAGTGGTTTAGAAATATTTTTATTTAGCAATTGAAAGGGTAGTTTAGGATTTTTAAAAATTTTGTTACACAAATAACAAAAGTAAGAAAGGTAAGTGATTTTTTAAAACTTTAAAGGTATCATGTGATATTAAGAGAAACCTCTGGGAAGGTTTCTGAATTTATACTATTAGATGCTAATGACATTGAAAGGTCTCTCTCTCTGTCTATGTGTGTGTGTGTATATATATATATATATATTAATATGCAAAAAGTTACAGTAGGTTCTAGTTCAATTATGATCATGGATTAGAGCATACATACACTGAGAGACTAAAAGTCGCTCACAGAGGAAGAAAAGGTCTGGATTTGAGAATTTGAGAGCCAGTCATTCAGTGCATTTGCAGAAAGTTGATCCGTTTCTCCCCAGGAATAAACGGTACTGATTTGCACTGGAGAATTAACGTTGAACAATTAAGATGCATGCCGATCTTGCGCCAACATGCATTTTGTAGCTCTAAAATAGATTATACGATCATCATCCGCCGGTGCATTGCATCACATGTGAACATTATGCAGCTTCAGCTTCCCCAAAGTTCACGAACCTTCCTTCTTTGTCATTTCTGAAAAGTGAAAAGTGAAAATGAACGATTCTAAAACCAGCGAAACAAACGAGTCCTACAGGATATATCCACTCCCGTCCTATCCGTTCCACGTTTCCGACGGAAAATATCTACTCCTATCCTTTCAACGTTATCCTGAAACGAGGTATCCGAGGAAAACGTGTCGAGGGTACTTCAGATGTTAAACGCAGGACTAAAATATAATAGATATAATGCAATCAATTGTTCGATTAAGTAAAAAAAAAAAAAAAAAAAGCCATTATAGATTGTTTGGTTACTAGTTCTCCGGTTTGATGTCCGAGAAACTAATTGGATATTGTTACCATTTAGTTAGTTGATAATCGACAAAATTTCAATAATACATTACTAGTTTTAATAGAACTATCACTTACTACTATAAGAGTCAAGAGTTAATAACTTAAAATATATACTATTTTACAGTTGTAGCTTTTGTTCTTCGTATTTCTCTAAGGTAAACACGGGTTAAATTGGCTGAAAGGACAGTCAATCCAAAAAGAAAACTTATTAGTTATACCTCGACTGATGTGTGGCTTGGTATTAGATACAGATCTTTTCAAAAAATAGCCGATTATGAACCAAATTTTAATAACCAAAATACTTGAATAATCATTTGATTAAACCTCTAATTAGAAATGCATGTTTGGGCCGTTGCATAAGCCATCATAAAAAACCTCTAGTAACTGAAATTGGACTTTCCGCGCCCTTGCCGACCCTAAAAGCACTTAATTTCAATGATGGAGATGGCTGAATAATAATTGACAATGGACGAACGATCTCAAAACTTATTTATGGCAATTGAAAAAAAAATAATTTAAAAAAAAAAAGTGAAAATGGTCCCAACCACTCAAGTCACCAGCGGTGCAGTTGTTACGTTTCTTTAGACAATAATGCAAAAGTTTGCTTCTCTGCCAACTGTCAACTGCTTTATGCTTGATCAAAAATTTTCGTTTAAGTAAAAGGAAAGCTAGAGTTCGAGGACTAAGAAACAAATAGGGAAAAAGAGAGAGAACGGATAAGAGAGAAGATAAAATTGCATAAACAAATGATAGACAGGAAAGAAAGGAGAGTAACTAGTTTAGTGGGGTGTTTGGTGTTTTCTGTCCCTTTTGGAGGTTTTTTGGGTTTTTTATTTGTGTGTGGGGGGACCACTTGTTGACATATTAAATCAAACCTAAAAAATATCAATGTCTATATTGTTAGTAATTCTATTGGAATGGAATCAAGTTATGGTAAATTTATTGTTTAGTAATTAATACTTTATTAGAAAATTTCTTGTGGTGCAAGACTTGTTCACCACGCCATCTAATTTATAAATAGGGAGTCTTATTATTAATCAGTTGAGAAGATTGAAATTTGATAGCATTGTTATTGTGGTAAGCGATTAATATATTAATATTTGTATATATTTGTAAATTGCCTTCCCATAAACAATAATTACACGAAATTTATCTTTTTGGGTTCCACACTACTTCAATGGGGGGCTTTTACCAAATAATCTAACGTTTATTAGAAAATTTGAAATTAGTCTACATTTTAGATTTTTTTTTCAAAATAGAGAATTTTTAGTTTGAAAAGGTAAATTCGAAGTCACATTTTCAAGTAGCAACTTTGAAACCGCCATTTAAAAGGGCGACTTTAGGACATAGCAAACAAAAGTCACAGGTGATTGAAAACAAATAACCTGAAATAGCATTCTCGAGTGGCAATTTTGAAATCGCCGTCATACGAGAGAGTGATTTTGAAGTCCCCCTTTCAAGTACAAAATCTCTAGTTGGGGAAGAATTGGAAAAAGGGATAATTTCAGAGACCTCCCCTAAGGTTTCTGACAATTTCACTGAGCCTCTCTTGAGATTTAAAAAATTACACATACCTCCCTTATCATTTAAAATGATAATTTTACCCTTAAATATTTTAATGAGATTCTCTTATTTGGTATACTTATACTTAGAATGAATTTTAAAATTATTTTTTCATTCTTTTTCCTTCTTATTGCTTTATTTAAAATTTTTTACCAATAAAATTGTAGAACTACCACTATTGTCTCTGGGTTTCTATTATAATTAAATGTCAAACTAGTGATTTTTTTGACGAGTTAATTTTATATGTAATCCAATATTTTTGCTGATTTTTGTTTTTTATTTTTTGGTATTAAAATTAATAATAAATCAAAAAGAAATGGCCCAAAAACACTACTAAATTATGATAATCCCACTACTCCAAAAATTTATAAATTCTAAATGAATTATTTCAAAATTTTCTTTCTATCTTATAAATCTAAATCAATAATAAAATACTATTAAAAATATCATATCATAGTAATAAAACTATTATTATAACTGTTTATCAAATAATAGATATGGACTTGAAAAATTTGGCACATTTTCCTTATAATTATACTAAATAATCTTATAATTGTATAGGAAAATAAATTAAAACAAATTCTACAAGGGCATTTTTGGATCTTCATTTAAAAAATTGTCCAAGTCAATATTATTTTAAGGTCTTTTTACTAAAACTATCAAATCAAGGGAGGTAAATATAATTTTTCAAACATTAAGGGAATTCAGTGAAATTGTCAGAAACCTCAGGGGAGGTTTTTGAAATTATCCCTTGAAAAAATTGGACCACATTTGAAGTTTCCGGTAAAAAGCTGAATCATTGAGGTTAATAACCCTGGTTCAGGGTACGAAATGAAGCAAATACGAGAAATATATCCGCAGAAAATCAATTCAAATTCATCCCCGCCTGCCTTTCACGACTCCACCAGGCCTCAACGACGTGCAAAAGTCAAGTACGAAACGCCAATCAATTTACTCTCAATGACCAGGCTTCCTAAAATACCCAACGATGACAACGTGCCTGTCTAGTACCTACTCCTGCAAGGCCAATCTAGCGGTAGCTAGCTGTGTGTGTGTATAAAAGGAGGCATTCTACAGATATTATGCGCAGCAATCCACTACTCGCCAAGTACATTCTCCAGTGCTCCCTCCACTCCCCCACACCCACCTCCCCCAAAAAAAGCTTCATTCCTGGTAAGTTTTCCAGGGTAAACAAAACATGGCCGCACTTTCCTCCACAGGTTTGCTCCAACCTCCATCAGAAACAACGTCACCAAAGCAGCAGGAGGCGACTCCTGTGTCACCCCAGCCAAAAACCACAGCCCCGCTGCCACTTCGGGAAATCCCCGGTAGCTACGGGCTTCCTTTCATAGGACCAATCAAAGACAGACTGGACTACTTTTACAACCAAGGAGAAGTCCAATTCTTCAGCACCCGGGTGGAAAAGTATAAATCCACCGTATTCAGATCCAACATGCCCCCTGGTCCTTTCATTTCTTCCAATTCAAAAGTTATCGTCATGCTTGATGGAAAGAGCTTCCCTGTCCTCTTCGACATTTCTAAAGTCGAAAAGAAAAACCTCTTCACTGGGACTTACATGCCCTCCACTAAACTCACTGGCGGATACCGTATCCTCTCCTATCTCGATCCGTCCGAGCCAAAACACACCAAGCTTAAAAACCTCCTGTTTTTCCTCCTCTCCAACCGCAAAGACCATGTCATCCCCGAGTTCCATAAAAGCTACACTGAACTGTTTGACAGCATAGACAAGGAATTTGCCGCTAAAGGCAGGGTCACGTTTGAGCAAGATGGAGCAGCTTTTCGCTTCTTAGGTCGAGCCTACTACGGCGCCGACCCGGCAGACTCCAGTCTCGGCCAAGACGGGCCTAAGTTGATCAACAAATGGGTCCTTTTCTCTCTTCATCCCATTGCCTCACTCGGGCTGCCTAAGCTTATTGAAGACCCTTTACTACACACCTTCCCCTTCCCACCCTGTTTGGTGCAAAAAGATTACCGAAAACTCTACGATTTTATCAACGCGAACTCCACGTTCGTCCTGGACGAAGCTGAGAGAAATGGAATCGCACGTGATGAAGCGGCCCATAACCTCGTATTTGCTACGTGCTTCAATACCTTCGGGGGCATCAAAGTCCTCTTCCCCAACCTGATGAAATGGATCGGCCAAGCTGGAGTCGAACTCCACAAAAAATTAGCCCAAGAAATTCGATCAGCTATTAAGTCAGCCGGTGGCACTCTTACAACGCAAGCCCTCGAGAACATGCCTCTGACGAAGTCGGTTGTCTACGAGACTCTCAGGATCGAACCTCCGGTGCCTTACCAGTACGGGAAGGCTAAGATTGATTTGACTATTGAGTCCCACGATGCCAGTTTTGAGGTAAAGAAGGGGGAGATGTTATTCGGATACCAACCCTTTGCGACCAGGGATCCAGAGATTTTTGAGAGGGCCGAGGAGTTTGTGCCGGACAGGTTCGTGGGTGGAGGGGAGGAGTTGCTGAAGTATGTTTTGTGGTCTAACGGACCTGAAACGGAGAGTCCCACTGTCAACAACAAACAGTGCGCTGGGAAGGATTTTATCGGGTTCATTTCGAGGTTGTTCGTGGTGGAGATTTTCCGCCGTTACGACACTTTCGAAATTGAGGTTATGAAGGTTACGGCGCTGGGTTCTACTATTGACATTACCTCTTTAACGAAAGCAAGCTCCTGAACATAGAACCTGATGAATTGGGGGCAGCATACACCCTCATTCCAATGGAATTTCATTGTGGCCAAATAAAATAGGAAACACATCATGGAGATGCAAATATTTGTGTTCTGCAGTCTTCCATGCCCTCTTATAGCATTAAGAAAAGAGTGCCAAGTTCAAATAATATTCTAGAGCGTTCAAGAGCAGCATATGTACCTGTATTTGGTTGCAAGCTAAATTTTGGCTTTGTTTGTATTAGCGGTTTTTTGAGTTGTTTTTAAAATATTTTATTATAACAATATGTGTAAAAAAATTTTACTTTAAATATTTTTAGTGATGTATTTTAGGGTGCCCTTTGAAAATATATTTTGAAGTATTTTTTAGGTTTAAAATATTAATGGGATACTTCTAAAAATTTGACCACCATTGCCCATC